ATTTTGTTGGAGACATCCGCTCGAGCTGAAATTTTACGTGTGATCAGGCATTGTCATAAATCTTTTTCCTGGAAAATCTAAGGAGTTATTATTATGTACGTTTAGATGATACAACCGGTAGGATACTTTTGCACGTTACTGTAACTTACTTCGGCGTGGATCGTATCCACTCTTACCCAATGGTAGGTATCGCCTGCCAAAGTCTCGTTCATTCGTGCTTTACCCCACAAATGATGTGGTTCCATATATTCCCCTCGTCCATCAACAAATCGTTGCGTTCGAAAACAGATATCAAAGCGTCTTCGTCGGCTGTAAGATAATCACCCGTCTTGAAGAGAATTACTGGATCGTCCAATAACGTCTCTGAACAATAGACAAAGAGTTCTTTGAATGCCGAGTTTGCCGAGAATACTCGATGGAGCAGAATAAAGTTTGACTGAATCAATGGTTCCCATTCTTGTAAGAAATGCATTTGAACTGGTTTGATTAATCTTTCAAGCTGCATTTCGTAGGCTGCTAGGAGAAGTTCAAAAACTTCTTTTGGAATGTAGCGCGGTCGGTTTGAACCAGTTGTCGTTGTCTGATCTGTCTGCTGACGAGATTAGAATAATCCCGATTAAGCAAATGTCAAAAGCGTAATGTGAAATTTAGTTGAAAATGGATAATATAAATGATGTTTAAGAATAAGAGTAACAAACAAAACAAAGAGAAAGTAAATATAGAGACTGATGTCCCTTGTGATTACGTCTCCGTTTACCTCGTTGAAACAGCAGCCAGTTTGGAGCGTTATATATGTTAATGATGCATTGTGTTACTCCTGTAAGTCAGAATTCGTGGTTTAGAAACATTTGCGTAAATTATTCTTGGTTTTAATTCCAGCTTCAAGGTATAGCTACCTCTCTCGTACTCAAGTGGTTCTGCTGAGTACTTCGTGACGTGATACATAAAGGCCGTCATGCGACTAATTCAGTAATTATGGTCATGTGCTAAAGTATGTAGGAAAAGATGGGAGTTTAGTATTGGTGATATTTTCAAGTAATTCGATTAAACCAATACTTGACTGTTGATTAAAATCAATCGAATCCTTGGGTTGATCTCTATTATCCTAGTGTGAAAAATAGATAATTGGCATTTATATTACATGTTGTGCCAAACATTTGTGAAGGCCTTCTTCCTTTGTCGAAAAGATCAGATACAGAGAGAGAACGAGGGAGACTGTGTTGGTTAGACTGAGCATAGGAATACTATTGGTTGGAATTTACTGACAAAGTTACACCATGCAAACAATATAGAAGATGTTAAAGCGTTAGTGAAGCGACTGCTTATTTGCTAATTATTACAGAAGAAATTGAAAACACAATTCCCTCTACAAGCTGACACGATGAGTTCTAGCTCAACAACCGACTATGTATCAGACAACTTTCTCACAACAAGTGCTCCTAGAATTTCTACATTAACGCCGAGCAACACTGCAACTCAAGGCAGTTTTCCGAAAATTATATTTCAATTAATGGAAAATGGGCTTACATCGGCAAATGCACAAATAAAGGGATTGTTAACGGACTTGAAGTATTCCGAGAATATTTACGCACTTAGATACATTCTCGAACATAAAGGAGATTCTGTGTCAGTGGATATGCTAGATACTGCTTTGGAGAGTCTATGTTCTCAAC